ACCCCCCCCCCCCCCCCCCCCACACCGCGCGATATTATTCACAACCAATCGGAAGACACGCATCCGTCACTTACATTTCGCACTAAACAATCGGTGGACATACAAAACTTATAAAACTACCAAGACAGCAGTCACAAAAGAGAGTTCTCCTAAGAAGCCCAAGAAGAAAAGATGAGCATCATAATCAGACCATCCGTCAAGACCCACGGAGAGTAACTCAGCGCGAGAGACAGTCACACAACCGAACGCCTTAGTTCAACCGTAACCAGATCTTGCTGTATTAATTTAGGGTAGGCCGGATCCCTGCAAAATTGTCGCATCCGCGTAAACGGCATTTATGACCTCGCGAAACTTCCACCGTGCGAGATGCAACAGGTGTAGTAATTCTGTTAGGAATGTATATCGGATTCGAAGACATTCGATTGCAGCGGATGTTTCACACAAGATTTAGGGAACCCGACAATTTGACGGAAACGTTGCTCCAACTATAACGATGGTGACAGATTTAGTTAACTTAAATTAAGACAGTTAATATAATATATATTTGTTTCTAAATTAAATTAGTCGATGAAAGAAGGGCACATGGTTTCCTTTACCTGTCAATTTGGCAGGTGTCCTTAGAAATAGAAATACAGATAACGTCCGCAAACCTAGTGTTAAACAAGTTCAGACCACTATTCCCATCGTTTAAGGATGACGCATTGATTATTGCTATTGACTGACACAGGACATGGTCGGTCCAAATGTCCGTAAATCATGGGACGCTAGTAATAAAGGAAAACAGAAAAACAGTCTCCCACTTTACTAAGGACACCCAGTATTTGGAATGGAACCCTTCTTATTCTGCCATTTGTATGTAGAAACATTCATTATCATATAATGCTTATTTCCGTCAATTCTACGAATGAGCAATTTTCCGTCGCCTTGATTTGTTTTATATTTTAGTAATGACGACAATATAAATCCTCAGCTGAGCACAAGCTATCAGCAGCCTAATAATTTGTACTCACCATTTTACGTTAGGTCTTTAGCTAATGTAATGGAGGTGCTGAGTTTTGCAACAAATAACGTAACTGCACATAAGGATAGTAACTATCATACAAATGCCCAAAGTGTCAATTCAATATTTAAGCCTCCGAAAGAAATGAAACACTGCGTATGGTATCATTTATCAAATAAACATTATTTGTAATACGATGTGAAACAATTATGTATAGCCCGTTATATTAGTACTGATAAGGCAATATAGAAAGTATGACACATTTACGTAGGAAGGTATTCATACGATAGTGCATATCAACTAGTTGTTGGACTAAGCTATTATTAGCACACGGCATTGCCACACAAGTTAACTGTAAGGACTTATTAAGTAAATATTTCTCGTTTAGCCTAAAAGCTGTTGTGGAATATAAAGAGACTGCATATGGCAGCCGGGATTATTCTTTCAGCGGTACATGACCTCAGTAACAAGAGATCGCATATTTGTCATCCGAATGATCTGTGATTTCACACTCTAATGATTCTGTGTCAATTTGAGTTGTGCAGTCCGCGGAACAACTAGAATTATAACAAACATTTTCCAAGTGACAAATGTATTCATTACATATTGCAATCAAGGACAATTTTTGTATAAAGAATAGAACCAAACGTGTTAAGTAATTATGTAGTAAATATGTTAAGAATATAAAAATTTATGACTCGCATGTTGAAAAATATTAATCCAACTAATAGGAAATACATGGATGAAAGAAAAACGGATGTATCAGTTAAGTATTCGGCGATGCAAATGCACAGTAGAAAATAAACTAAAAATCTACGAAACAGTGATAAAGCACATTGGAATCTGTAAATATCACTCTGGATATAATTAATAATATGCTGTGTCACTAAATTGAGATCATTGTCATCAATGATGGCACATTGGAAATAAAGTTAACAGATAGAATTAGAAAAATTCAATTGTTAAGGTAGAAATGAATAGGTACTGAAGAATATACAGCAAGAATCTGGATAAGACTGAGTTGTTATTGAAGCATATATAGACAATATCAATGAACAAATAGGAAGGAAGCATTTCATTGACCATACTCCATAGTAAAGTTAACGAAATATTCTATTCAATTATATAGTTGTGAATAAAATGGAAAGATTTTAATTGAAATGGAACGATACGATAGTTACACTGGCAATCAGTATGCAGTTCCTTATTTGATGGTCGTTGATTCCTCGTTGATTGAAGTATAGAGCCTGAATTTGTTAAATTTATTTGGCTGAAATAAATGGTTAATTAGAAAGAGTTAATAAACGGTAAATTAGACATGCAATTGTCATAAAAGCAATATTCAAGTTTTTGAATTAAATTCACTTAAGATGATACTGGTAAATATAGCTCTCCTTTATTCATTTCTATATCCATTTTAAGCATATTATATGTTTTAATCGGTATAGTTTTTATTGTCTTTCCTACCTGCGATTTGAAGTATGGAAAGTAGAGCCGAAAATTTGTTCATTGTAACAAAACCTGCTAGTTACGAATATTGTTAATATAGTCTGCTTGTGAAATCGAATTAATTTTAGCAATCAATGTTTCATATTACAGGACCAACTATAGCAACGAGAGCAGTTCTTCAAGGGACAGCAGAATTACCATGTGACATCCGTCCGCCACGAGAAAATGACTCTGCAATTCTAGTTGTTTGGTACAAAAGCGATATTACACCTATTTATAGGTAAGCGATTAATTTTAAAATGCTTATCATTCATGAATTCTGTGTTTCATACATACAAAGGTATTATGATTATTCTTATTTTGTACAATGAATTACGGAAATAAAATATTTCCGTACAGAAGTATTGACGTGCAGTAATGTATTGAATAATAGCTTTTAACATGCTTCTCAATGAAAATTTGATTACATTTCGCAATAACGTTTACTGGTCACCATTAAGCAGCAATATATATTAAGAAGATTGTTAAAAAGTTGTCACTTTTTGTAGAGTTCCGTGCAGCCCAGTGGACGTATTTACGTTACTAATATTTGAAACAATATTCCAAAATATGAGAAAATATGTGGGCGCTACAATTGTCGCGTAACCAGAACGTTTTGTAAGCTTAATTTGTACCCCGCTCCATACACGCGGACACACCAAATGGTCTATAGAAACGATACACGTTCGTTACAAGAAACCGTTAGTCAACAGCCAACTATATTCAGATTTCTAATCTTAATTCTACATTGAGTATGTTATTTTATACATTGAGAAGGTTACTTGTATTTCACTTATGTTTTCCTGACATCGCTGATACTATTATGATACTATGGTACTATGATATACTAACATCTGCAGCATAAAATGATCTCAACACAAACGTGAAATGTTACATTTCTTTTCATTGTTTTAAGATTTAACCAATAAACGTTCAGGCAGTTGTCACTTCAGTTTCCATCTTCAGACACGAGCAGTTCTAATATTATATGCATGTTCTTCGCTACTGTTATGCACTGAAATTTCAAGACTAAATTATTTTAAAGAATTTGATTGCTCCTTCATCTATTTTCAATGCAATATTAATAAGCTAACACAGAGAAATCTAAATAGAATGCAATAGATTATTGACCCAATCCGAATAAACCGCTCAAATTATAAAATATTCATAACTTGAAATTAATATCACCTTATCAATTAATCGTAATAGCAATTTTATTTTAATACTATACTCATTACACGAATTTTATTCCAATCTCCGTTTGCTTTTCGAGACATTCGCTACTCTTGTATGCATATCAAAATTTGAGCTTCGCGTTAAGGGACATTGCATAATTTTCATAACGTTTTACGAGAGAAAGAAAAAAAGGAAAACAAAACGTGTACAGATGGATACGGAGATAAAAGTAAAATAAAAAATACCGTAATAAAATCAAAATGGGTGAGAAGTTAGAGGTTTGATACAAGGGCCGCAAAGGGTCGGAAAGATATATGGAAACAGTGTTCTATGATAACAAACATTTTACTGGCAGCGCCGCCTTCTGCATCTAACGTCGACCGGTGTGAAGTATATATAGCTCTATGTCAGCAACTAAATCAGATGCTCCGTTTCCAATTACATTATTTGACGTATATATTTTGGGTAATCGGAAGGTATGCGAGTCGAAATAAAGAAGGACGGTTTAAAGATATACAAATATACGCCAGACGTCAAGGATGGATTTGTCTTCTCACGTGCATAAACTTTGTAAAGCGGTTTTACCAATATCATGGGGATTGATTCTATGTGTTGAAGCTTTTGCTTAGCCGACGGACTTGATCCGTTCCGTCCATGTTTTCTTCCGGTTATCGTTTCTGAACCCCCATCGGTTGTCCGTAATGGCCGCATCGTTTGTGTATTCCATTATATCCTACGTGAAGATGTCATTTAGCAATGGAAGCCCTTCATACATTGTCTGTATTCATTTACCAGCCAAAACCTTCGAAAGTGTTCCGGAAACAGAAAATTCTGCAAGGTTAACATGACCGGTCAGGTAATCAGGTCTTTCCGTCTGTTGGTTGGATCGTTAAATTGTATCTTCGTCTTCCTCATTGATGTACGCTGAGAATTTTTCCACATCCAAGACTATGGAACATACAGTATCTATTTCAGGATTCGTAGACTCAGTTCTTCGGAGATTTAATTTGTTCGATCTGTGGTGTCAGAGCTTCTCCGAAGTCAACTTGTACATAAACATGACGTTTCTATTATGGATAGTTCTGTTGTTCGCCAAATCCTGCACTTGATAGTCATTCTTCTCTCAGCAATGTCAAAATAAAATGTAAGGGCCTCCTCCATTGTTGCTGCACTCGTTTTGTCGGCAGGTATTCTCGATGTGGCGGTGGAGCTAGAAGGACCAAGAGAAGAAGGAGGGGATGCGTTTCATCTCGGTTATACTTACGGACTCATCGATAAGGGTACCTAGTAGCCACAACCGGAGGTAATGCTACCATTTGAAAATTCGGAAATTCTATACATAGGAAGTGGAGGGTTTAACGTGGATGTTCGAGGAAATCCTCAGACATCTTTGAACTTGAAATTCCATTTAGTGGCAAGAACTGTGAGAAGGGTAGTGGAGGCAGAAAGAAAATACGGAAAATTCCCTTCGATAAGGGACGGAAAGGTCCAAGTATAGGACGAATGAAGTGAATCAAATGGGAAAAGAGATTGGAGGCTTAAGTTTCGGAGGCATGGAGAAAGAGGCAGGGAAAAGAAGAAAAAGGGAGATCATAAGGAGTTATTGGTCAGAAGGCAAACGGTGAGAGGGAGTAGTAACTAGAGATGAAATAGACAGCATGAAACTTTACATTTCGGAATATGGCATAAGAACGAAACAGCGTCCTCTAAATGAATGAGAAGGGCAGTTATGGATCGTGCGAAATAAATATAGGAAGAGGAGAGAGCGGATAGGAGGAAAATACCAGTAGAAAGATAGAAGCATTCCTTCTTGGAATTGCGAGAGCTGGTAGAAAGGAGAGTGATGTCTGACTTAGGAAATGGAATCACAATGAAAGTAATTTGGAGGAAAAAAGGTTTTGCACCAATGAGGTTGGATAAGTGTCAGTAGAAGTATGAAAGTTCGGAGAACATGTATATGAGTGATTATACGAAGCGCATGCGAGAGTAGAAACGTTGTAGTAGGGTGAAAATTTTTGGTCAAGAAGTTGGACGGTAAGAGTTATTGCGCGGATAAAGAAAAAAGGGAAAGCAAAGGGGCAGATGAATTTAGAGCGGTAATACTACTGAAATCGATATATAGACGCTAACAACGTTTGTGGAAATTAGTGGAAACGCTTGCAAAAGAGCGAGAGGAGAAGAAAATTTTAAATGAGGGACAGACGTGTTTAGAATGGGCGTTACTTATAATATACATATACGTATTAAGTCATTTTACAAATAATCTAGTTGGATGAGAATATGATAGAATAGTTTATGGATTCTGGAGTAGCATAGGACACTATCAATGGGGAAAGTTTATGGGAAATAATAACAAAAAGGGAGTTAAGTTAAGGGTTGATAAGCAGAACGAAAAGAATATAGACAAAAGCAATGAACAGGACGGGAATACAGAGCGATGTAGGGGAAGAATTTTAATGATTTACGGGTCCTAAGAGAAGGCTGCTCCTCGAGAAACCATTTAATTAATAGGGCGAAGGAAGATTTGATAGCCTTATGTATGCTCATGGTATTATTCTGAAAACGAAAGGGCAGGAGAGGGTGGAAGCGTTGTGAAGAAAGTTGAAGTGACATTCAAGAGAAAAGGGTTTGATTGAGAATGAAGAAAAATTGATGAAGAAAGATTGCTGGAAAATACGGGCGGAATTTAGGATCGAGAAAGGAAAATGGATAATAGAAACAGGAGGGAGAAGCTACATAGAAAGAAGTAAAGGAAGGAAGTGAGAATACAGATAGAGGAGAGGAAGCAGAAGGTAAATGCCTCAAAAGGTCAATTGGGAAAGTGAATTAGACGTCCCGAATTATGTTGAAGTATACTGGTAGGAGAAAAGGACGAAATAGTTAGTGAGATTTAGGTTAGGCAATGAGGTGTTTTAGTGTAAAGAATGCCAAGTAAATAGTATAGTAGTAGTGCCATGATGTTCAGTATATATTGTTTACTTCACAATAATTTATATTGTCGAGTTCATTTTGGAAATAAGAATACCTAATGTGATATGAAATGGATTGAAAAATGAGATTACCCAGGGAATGGGAGTGTATTTATGGTTGCTTGACTCTTGAGAATGTAATATCGACGGACCAATGTCTTTTGATGAGTTATAATTCCATATTTATTTAATCCAATTTCTTTTTCTGCCTTCTTTTTGTTGCACAATTTTGTTCATCTTTCTATTTGTCCTATGTGCCGAATCTCTCTGATTTGCAAGAACTTTTGTAATATTAAGGATAGCGAGTGTGATATTAAAATAGAGTGGTTATTTATAGTAAAAGTATAGAATAGTTATAGTAGAGACTTTTATCGGAGTACTGTTTCGAACACGCGTTTATAAGTACTTGTACGACGTTTCAGTGATTGGTGTCAAAGACGAACTGACTTTTCAATTTTGGTCTGTCTTGTGTCTCATTGTGTCCTGTCCGTCGTTTTCTCCAGTTTGGTTTTAATTGATTAAGATAAATATTAGAGGCGGAGAAGTAAACATTTTTAATTGGATAGAGGGTGTGACGAAAAAACCATCAGCTGAGCAGAAGGGAACTGCTAAGCAGCGGATTTTCATTGGTCAATGATGTGATTTACAAGTAGTCCGTTCGTCACTTCGGTGGATTCGTCACACTTGGGTCTCATCTGCCGAGTCTAGTGGTTGTAAAAATTCCTAAACTTTCGCTTTTAAATTTACAACATAATTTTCGAGAATGGCGGTGAGGCACATCTATCCTCCAGATTCGCAGTCGTAGTACAAAGTATAATATGAACCGTTAGGTCTGATAAAAGTACATGTATTAAAACAAAAATCATTATATGGACGCGGCCTCTGATACGGAACATTTCGTATAGACGTTTTATTGATATGGGTGCTGGTTTTGGCATTATTAAGTACGGAATACAGGATATCCTTCAATGAATAGCTATTCCGTCTTTGCCAGAAGGAAGTAGAATTTACTTTTTACATTACGTACTCAGTTCCGACGAACTTTTATTATTGCAGGTCATTTAATTGCCACACTACCATAATGAATCTCGTTTCT